CTGCTGCCATGGTGTAAGATCCCAAACTGGAAAGCAGCGTCAGAGTTGAGTGCTTGTCCTAGCAGTATCTTCTGCAGGCAAAAACCTTGAACTGTTAATGGTACTTTGAGGGATCTTTTCACTTTTATTACTGTCTGTATTTTTTTCCCCGAAAATTTTAAAATGAGTGCTTAACAAAACATTAATTCCTCAAATGATGTTATCCTTTAATTCTGTGTATTTATCTCATGACTGCTTATTACTGTCTTTGATAACTCTCAAGCTTGCAGGACCAATACTCTTAAGCCACATAAAACTACACAGCCTGCTGAATCTGAGTGTGAATCTATCACTTCGCCTCCTGTTTCTGTGCCTGATTTTTGTTGTCTGGAGAGTTACGGGCTCACTCCACTACAGAGCTAGAGAGCAGGTTACCATGGAGGACATGAAGGTGATCAGGGAGCAAGAGCTTGAATGCTAGCATCAATGACGCGACTGTCCAGATGTGGTCCAGTTCAGACCCTTTTGATGTGTGGTTAGAATCATAGAATCATTTAGTTTGGAAAAGACCTTTAAGATCATCGAGTCCAACAAAGTTAGCAGCCAAGACCTGCCGGATTGGTGACACTTGGCATGTCTGTCTCCTAACAAATGTGCCATTTGACCTGGAACCTGCCAAATCCAGGGTGCCATTTTAAAGGAGCCCAAAGTCCCTGTCTGACCTTCCTTCTTAGGCTGGTTAATAATCTGGTCCTGGTTTTTGTGCAATCAATACCTAAATGTGAAGACCGGGAGCTTAAGCAATGCAGAATTGTCAGCATACCGAATTCCCTAACGTGCCCACACCAGCTGTAACCTCTCTGCAGGAGTATGTCTTAAGGAGGAGAGGAGTGCTGCAGCTCTCGGATCCACTCGTCCCTGACTCAGAGGTTAAAGTGCACTGCTAACTTGAGCACTTTCTTTCCCATCTCTCACTGGAAGTAGCAAAGCCAAGACATTTTTCCGATTCCTCTGTAGTGCCAGAGCCCCACACACCTTGGCTAAGACCTGGAGTTCAGAGGTGTGCGCTCAGCTGTACAGGTGTAAGGAAGTCCCTTAGGAAGGTGAAGTTCCCACTGACTGGAAAAGGGGAAACATAACCCCAGTTTTTAAAAAGGGAAAAAAGGAAGACCCGGGGAACTACAGGCCAGTCGGTCTCACCTCTGTGCCTGGGAACATCATGGAACAGATCCTCCTGGAAGCTATGCTAAGGCATGTGGAGGACAGGGAGGTGATTCAAGACAGCCAGCATGGCTTCACCAAGGGCAATTCTTGCCTGAGCAAGCTAGTGGCCTTCCATGATGGAGTGACTACATCAGTGGACATGGGAAGGGCTACAGATGTCGTCTATCTGGACCTCT